AGGAACTACAGGACCGAAAGTATACTCACTTCACAGCACACTATGAATACCATCTCATTGAGAAACTCTCCCGATATCTCCCATTCTCTCTCTCTCTCTCTCTCTCTCTCTCTCTCTCTCTCATGAAAAAGTTTAATAAATATAAAATTGTTAGAGTCATTGTCTTCACTTAAATAAATTATTAAAAATTTAATAACTTTAAAATGCTATCAAAATAGAATATAAATTATAATATCATATCATACTGTATTATGATATAATGTAAGTTCTAAAATAAAGAGCAGCAGGTAAATGTGCACTACTGTAGGCGTACTGTACGTAAGAGTTTACATATACAAACATAATGAAAATTAATGTAATAATGTCATAGGTAGAATTAAAATATTATAAATTATTACACTTAAAATATATGAAAACAATTAGTTGAGAATGTAGACCACGGATGCTATCAGGAGTAAAAATAGGGGCAAATCTGTTTTATTATTTATTTACGGCATTGTATTCACTAATACTATTTAGATAAAATATTTATCATATACAATGATTGTGCGACAAATATACGTCTAATGAAAACATGTCCGAAAGCATCCGTGATTTAGACATTGAAAATATAGAGGGATTGACATGTTTTTAGTCCTTATCAACAGTCGACAAGTCTTTATAAACAGTTGACAATTAATTTGTCTTTTAAGTAATTGACAAAATATAAAATCATTTTAATTATAAAGTAAGTAATCACACGTTAATGCAATGTAAAGTTACCAAAAATTTACATCTATAATATACGTATTGCGTTATATATATTTAGGAAAGTAGTTAAGTATACGTAAGTATATCAATTGTTCTGTTAGATACTGTGTTAGGACTTTTTGTTTTTTATGTTGAATATAACATACTAAGGGGACTTTGAGTTTAATGACTATTGATTAATAATATGAATTAAAACATATTAAATTAATTCATCGTGAAGGAATAACGTTTATTATTATATTTTATAACAGAATTACCATTATTCATTTATTATACAATTTGGTCATTATTTCTTTACATAAAGTCTTTATAAACAGACAATAAAATAAAATAATAATATTTTACATATTTCTTAACGTAAACTTCATTTTCAATGGTATTGAAGGCTTCAATACGATAGACATGTCTACAGACATATCGTCCCAATGGGAGAGCGTTTGGACGCTGTATTTTCGGAAGAGTTGGGCTAAAAACGCCTTTTCCTCCATCAATGCAAACTTCTGTCCGATGCAATTGCGAGGACCGGCACTGAAGGGCACGTACGCGTACGGGTGCCGGTCGGCCGCCACACCACCGGGTGTCGACCCGAATCGATCAGGGTCAAACGCGTCCGGGTCGGGAAAGTGGTGCGGGTCTCTGTGCAGACATATCAGGGGTATGTAACACGTGGTGCCCCGAGGGATATGGTATCCATTCTTCAGCGTAAACGGGGCTTCAATTTGTCGGCCAATGATCTGAATGGGAGGAAAGAGACGAAGAGATTCCCGAACGCATTGATCCAAATATTTGAGTCGTCGCAAGTCGTCGACAGTCATCTCCCGTGTCGTGTCATCCGAGAAGATATTGTCTAACTCTTCGTGTATTCGGCACTTAATTGTTGCACAAAAAATAAACATAAAGTTGGATTAACATTAAAAATAATCATCATTATTTGATTTATTTGCAAAACAATAACCACCTGTACGTCCGGGTGTTGGCCGACGAGCATTATGGTGAACATGAGAGAGCTGGCAGTGGTGTCGTGTCCGCCAAACATGAATGTGTCCACATGTGACCTGACGTCCAGTTCGGACATATGATTGGGTCGCTTGAAGTGATAATTAAGTAGTGTATCGAGAAATACGAGTTGCCGTTTGGCACCGATTCTGGTCATCGCCTCATCGATCGCATCGCCAATCGATTTCCCGTTCTTATAGTTATTGTTCACATCATTATTGTTTAAGTCCTTAATCTTATCCAATATTTCTGTTTTTCTTTCTTTGATGACCTGATAAACAATGGAAGGCAACGAGAATTGAGTTATATTTGAAAGACATATAACTTCGATAAAACAAGTTGTTTACAGAATCTGTAAATCCATGTAATATACGGAGTCTTCGCTGCAGAAGACGGCCCAAAGAGCTCAAATAAAAGGTGAAATCGGGCCAAAGCCACGGCTTTATAAATCTTAGTATAGAGACCGCAAACGTACGTCTAATCGCCTCCACATAATCAGAGTTTGGGTTTTGTTGAGCCCTTACAGTCACACCCATTGCCGTCTCTGATTGAACGTTACATTTGAATTGTAAAAACAGACAACATTTAAATGTTAATTGTTTAATACAATACCACAAATAGCATCGAGTGTGTAGTTTGTAATCAAGTTTCTCATATCGTCAACAACGCCGTCGTTGTCCTCAATCTGTTTGTCAATCAATGATTGCATAATATTTTGTTGGTTTATAATTGTGGGCAAAAAGTTCTCCAAAATCTTGAAATGAAAGGCTGGAGTCAACAACTTTCGATGCGATTGCCATTTACTGCCCGTACTTTTCATTGTCAGCAATATTACAAAATATCTCAATTAATTTACTATCATGTACATTATAATTAAATTATAATTTATTTGGTTATAATTATTATTAATGAACTTTTAATTACTTTTTTGCATTTATCATTAAATAATTGTAAATTTTCATTTAATTAATTGAAAACATTAAAACCCATTAACGATTTGATAACATTTTAATGACGAGTTAAATAATATCTGTTGTAATGTTAAGATAATATTTATTTAGATCATTAAATGATCATTAGATTACTAAATTTTAGTCACGAATTAGTGGAGATTTTTTTAATTAGGTATATTATCTTGTTTATTTTAATATACCTTTGTTGTTTTTTAATTAACTTAACGTGCCGAAGTATACAGTATATGAATAAATCATACAAACCTGGTTAATAAACCGAACCCAAGCCAAGGTCTTAGATATTTATATTCATAAGCCTTTGATATATTTGTTGTATTGGACAGTAATTCCTGGAATGATATATGATTTTAATTAAAATTAACAAAACATGTTAAATGAAATAAAGCATTTTAGTTGAGTCAGTAAAGTAAAACAAACCTCAACATTGTCTGCGTTTAATAGCACCACAACTGGATTTATTGGTCCGATCCATAGCCTAAACACACCGTCCTTTTGATATGATTTACACAAATCTATTAGTAGCCTGTAACTTTCTATAAAATAAATTTTCATATTTTATTTCATAGCACTTAAAAAGTGACTTTACAATTAAAAATTGAATACTTACCTTGAAACCAGCGCTTAGAATAGGCGGCCGAATAAAATAAATCC